CTCCCAGCCTTTCTTTTTCCATGTGTGCTCAGGGATGGAACTCAGGTCCACATGTCTGCCAGGCAAGTGCCTTACCCAATGAGCCTTCATCCTCCATACACTGTGTTTCACATCAGTGTGTTTTCATTATTAAATTAGTATTTAATGAATCAATAACAATATGTACAAAGTAATTCTAACTTCTCTTATACCATGGCAACTGTTTGAGATATCTGCACATGACACAGAACATGCATTTGTGAGAGAGCTAGAGAGAGAGAGAGAGAGAGAGAGAGAGAGAGAGAGAGAGAGAGAGAGCGCATGCACGCACATGCGCACACACACACGTACAAAGTTCACTGGGCTCTTCAATAGTTCTACGTGATTAAAACTTGTTTTTTTAAGTTTTTTTGAGTTTTTTTTTTTTTTTAAGTTTTAAGTAAAGTGATCCTGAAGTCAGGACATGTGAGAACTGCTAGTCTGAGAAGTCTTCGAATGAGTGTGTGCTATGAGCTTTGACCCATCTCATTTCTCTTTGTTACAGTTATCAATATGTATTGATTATGCAAACTAATGGATGGATGCACTGTTAAAATCTTCATACAGGCATTGAGCATTAATCATGTCCGTCCATCTTTCTGTATTCTACCCTCCATGTGCTCCTGGCCCTGCCCCTGCTGGTCCCTGATAGTCTCTTTTCTGTTTACAGGTCATTTTTCTTTTCTTCAATCTCTAGTTTCCACATTTGTGGTATGACATTCCATCTTGCTCCTCTGTGTCTGGCTGTTTTGCTTAACACAGTGACCTCGAGTTCCACCCACTTTCCCAGAACGATGGCGTTTCCTTCTCCATGGCTAAATAAACTCCACCATGCACCTACAATGTGTTCTCCATCTGCCCATTGACAGTTTCTGAGGCTGTTTCCACAGCATGGCTATTGTGGATAATGCCAGGAGCTGCTCTTGAAAAGGCCTCAGGTGCAGCCTGGCAGCATGGCACTGACCCTTCCTGAGTGTGGCCCCTGTTCAGCATGGCATCAGGGCTTTCTGGAAACAGAAATGCTTAGTACATATGTTTGGGGGCCACCCTGGCTGGATTCAAACGTGGTTGTCTCTTGGTACCCATGTGATGGGCACCAGGAACCCTGAGGCTACCAAACTCATGGGATGCTCACATCCCTTCTATAAAATGGACATCCGCACAGACCTCTGCACAACTTCCTGAGCACTTCAAACCGCCTCTGGATGGCTCTGAGACTTCACCTAAGATATTGAAATGGCATGCAGACGGTTGCCAGGCTGCTGTTCAGGGAATGGCAAGAGATGAGGTTGCAAGCACTCCCCACTGACACAGTTTGTTTCCAGATACTCACTGTTGAAGTTGCTGGGCCCTGCGGATGGAGAACATAGTCATTACTTGCACATCACTGCCACAGAATGTCTAACAAGAACAAGTCCGGAAAGAGAAGGTTGGTTTCAGCTGATGTTTTCAAAGTGCTCAGTCCCTGCTTCCTTGACCCTGTACACTTGGGTAGAAAGGACATCATGGCTGAAAATCATGGCCATGGGAGCATGTGACTGAGGAGTTCTTTAGTAATAGTAGACAGGAAGCAGAGTGGAACAGCAACAGGAAGGAGCCAGGGCAAGGGACAGCCCTCAAGAAGCACCTGCAACCAGTGACAGTCTTCCCATCAGACCTCCCCATCAATAGTTCCACCACCTCTCAGTTTCTTCCAGTTTTGAATCCATCAATGGAATAAGCTATTGTCTCTCGAAACCCCCTTTAGACACACCCAGGAGAGCGCTGTGCTAGGCTGGGTTCTTCTCCACATGGTCAGGTTGCTAAGCAACCCAGGGAGTTGCGGCTATGAGCCCCTGCTCCACGGCCCCTGCTTCTGTTTGCTCTGTGACTTTTGCTAGGCCTCCGTCTGGATGCCTGTAAGGTGGAGAGAACAGTAACACCTACACCACCGTGGGGTTGTTGGGAGGAGTGAATGAATTCAGTGACTAACAGGACGAAGACAGGACAGTCAATCACCTCATGGTGGCAGCTGCTGTACTGTGATGCCGGAGAAGGAGGAAGAAGGGGAAGAGGAAAGACGTTTCTAGGAACCCTCTCGCAGGGCGTGGGGGTTAGCAAGCAAGGTAACTCACTACCCGATTCCGTGTGGTTTTTCCTTTCACTCTCTGCTCTCCTGTCCCAGGAGCACCCTCTTTGCAAGACTATCCAAACACCTGCTCCCCATGGAGCAGCAGTACAGATGTGCATGGTAAAACTCCAGACAAGAAAATGAGCAGACTAGCGAACAGCCCCTAGGAGAGCAGCCTGATGCCTGCAGAGGTTGGCCTCGGATCTAATGAGCAAATGAACGCCTACTGAGCTCTAAGACTAGCTTGCCTTGGGACTCTGCCTTTGTGTTTACAGGCTGGGTGACAACCTCTCTGAACCCCATTGCAGCCATAATGGTACCTAACTCACAGTGCTCACAAAGAATGACGGGGACCAGCAAGTGCCTGTTCCCCTTTGAGATCAGTGCCATTAGAAGACAGTGGAGTCTTGGACACTTGCATGATGCCATCCTGCACCTCGTTCTGAGCACAGTCCACTCAGATGGGAACATCAAGGTCATTATGCAGTGGTAAAGGCCTTCGAACAAGACCCCACCTTAGCATCACCCTAACCAGTGCCCAGGAGGCTGCCTGTTCAGAAGTACACATGTCCTGGAACCATGCCTAGTCCTAGAGATCAGGAATCCATGCACACCCTGCACTCAGGGGTCCCCTTGCCTGTTTCTTGGCTCCTTAGACACCACATGCAGTTGAAGCAGATCCCACCGTTTCCAGAGTTGGGGGTCAGGGCACACTGATGGAGGGTGGTACCTCTGAACACGTGGCAATGCCCTGCTCCACCTCCATCCTCGTCTGCATGCCCCATCCTGATGGAGCCCCTAACGGCTAAGTAACCCTGACAGAAAGAGGCACTGGAGCATCTAGACCACAGGGCCCACACTGGCATCCTTCTGACCTAGGCAACTGGATCCACTGCCCATGCAGATGCACCCATGGCCACTGCCCACCAGACAACCTCTGTACTTGGTAGGTGTCTACCAACATTGAGCTCCAAGACAGGCTTGAGCTGGTGGCGGCCCCTGGGTCAGACCTCTTGGACACGTGACAAGACAGGCACACATACTCTGACAGAGCACTCCAGATTTGGGGGACAGTGTTCCTCTCCCCTAAACTGCCCTTCCTTCTGCCTCTTCTTCCCGTGCCAGGAGGCAGATGCCCTCTCCTCCCAGACTTAGTTCAGGCTATGTCCAAAGTACCTAGTACTCAGATTCTAACATTACCTTTGATGGGCACCTGCTTTCTGAAGGCCAGCTCAAGATGCACCTGCTCCAAAAAGCCTTCAGGGCCTCTTGACCCCAGTCTGCCTCAGTTTCTATCTCATGGTGCTCTGTGGTGCATGGCCATCTCAAGGCTGCCCAAAACATGCTGGGCAGAGGGGAGAGGAGCCAAGATGGCAGTCCCTGATGGATACACTGAGACTCCAGCATGGAATCCTGCACTTCCTCTGTGAGCCATGGGGTGGGGGGTGGGGGGTAGTGGTGAAAACCCCCCTGATACCCCCATCAGCGTTGGAGACGGGAACAATCCAGTCTTCAGACCTGATACTAGGCATGGGCAGGGCTCCCAATATGGAGTTTTCCGACAGGTGGCAGGATCAGAACGTGAAGTCAGACCGCTGATAACTGTGAGGCAGCAAGAACTGCTAAGGGAACAACCTCCCTGCCCTCCACTCCCCCATGAAGCAAGAGAGTGGGGGAGGGGGGCTGCAGGGACCCAGGGTGGACAGAAACCACAGACAGGCCCCAGATCTCACGACGAAATTTCAGAAACTTTTAGTGGGCTCAGGGCTCTTCCCTTCCCTCGCCAGATTCGATCACTCTTCCTGATTGGTCCTGCTCATCACCCTATTCGTGTGCACAATAAGTCCCCTCTAAACCGGGGCTTCCTCACATGAGGTATATTAGAATTCATCGGAGGAGGAAGGAACCACTGCCTTCAGGACATGCTGGAGATGGACTCTTGAGACAGAGAACCCCATGTGTGTGTGGCTTCTGCCGCAGACAGGGTGCTTCCTTGAGCTGGCCCCCCAAACCCATTCCTGCCTCAGCCTCTGAGTCTCTGACACATGCTTTAACCGTGGACAGGAATTCAGTAGCTCTTCGGGTTCCAGCCTCTGGGTAGCTTTCTGTTGCCGTCATACTACCCTGTGAGCCTGGGCCTGAGCCTGGATGCAAGCCTTGCCCAGCCGCTCCAGAACCCCACAACCTCTCTGCCTCACCCTGCTTCCCTATCAGCTCTCCGTGACCACCTCTTTATTGATTTGCCGCTTTCACCCCTCTGTCCGCAGGGCCCTCACCCTCCTTACTCACCCTCAGTGGTACCCACACTTTAAGCGGCTGTGTCACAGTTGGCATCCTTCCCTGGCTCGAACTTCTCTCACACCCAGCCAGAGGACCCGGTCCCTATTCCACAGCGCCACCTGGTGGTAGCAGGAATAAGAGGGGCCCAAAGACGTGACTGAGGGAATACCAACTGCCTGTCACCCAGGGCACTGGGGCGCCGCCCTCCCTGGCTGCAGCCCAAGACAGCGCTCTACAGAAGCCTCCTCCCCCAGCGGCAGAGTGTCCTGGAGCCTGCCACCTTCCCCCTGAACTCAGGAAGATGCTGAGAACAGCCCTCCCCTTCTGCCAGGGGCAACAGAAATGCAGAGTGTAAACTCGAATGGACCATAAACTCTCTCACAGGGTCAGGGATGGTGATCTGTAAGTGACAGGATCTTCTGTGTACTTTTCTACATATTCCAACTTTTCCAGTTTTTCTGGGATACTCTGAACACAGGGACAAGGACGTGTTTATGCTCGTTGGAAGCCAAGGTCATCAACTTGCAGTGTGAGTCACCTCCCTAATCCCCATCTTGTCCTCCACAAATGACAAGGAATTATGACTACCTACCTCACTACACCAAGTGGTTGGCAAGTCAGCAGCGAGTTGTGTTTTGGAGGCTTCAGAGGTTTGATGCAGGCTAAGGGGGGGAAATAAAAAGATAAAATTTATCGTTTGCTTCAGATGACAATGGTCCATATGGTGGTTTGAACAAGAATGGACCCCATAGACTCATATGTTTGAATACATGGTCCCCAGTTAGTGGAACTGTTTGGGAAGGATTAGGTGTGGACTTGTTGGAGGAGGTGTGTTACTCAGAGTGGGCTTGGAGGTTTCACAAGCCAGTCCCAGTCCCAGTTAGCTTTCTCTGTCTCACAGTTGGGTCTCAGGATGTAAATCCTCAGCTACTGCTCCAGCACCATGCCTGCCTGCCTACCACCATGCTTCTCACCATGATGGTTACGGACTTACCCTCTGAAACTGGAAGCCCCAAATAAACTCTTTCTTCCATAAGCTGCTTTGGTCATGGTGTCTTGTCACAGCGATAGAAAAGAAACTAAGACAGGCCATATGTGAGATGGTGGTCTCATAGGAATATCACGGAAGGGGGAGAAAACCTTTACCCTTTGTGGCCACGTCTGCTGTGGTGCAGCTGTGCAAGGTTGCACTTTGTAGCTATGCCGGTGTGAGCAAACCTGCAGGGCTGACAGTCTTACAAAGGACAACACACCTGCAATCGTGGCCTGCGCACGGTACTTGGCACTGTAAGGGGCTGTCACAGCTCCAGGTCTCCTGTCGGTTTCGAGTGTGTTACATCACACTCTGCTCTCAGCAGCCTCATCCATCTGGATTCACTGCACACACTCCTGAAGGCATCAAAAGGGCGTGCGTAGTGACTGACCTGGACAATCTAGTGTCTGGTCATAAGTGTAAGTGTATAGGATGTCCCCACAGTGATGAAATTGCCTAACTGCGTGTCTCTCGAACACATCCCCATCATAACAAAAGTGTTGCCGTGTTGAGTTATATAACCTGCTGGCTGAGTGTGTGTGAGGCTCTGGCTTCCATCTTTAGCAGAAAACAAAAACTATCAGACTTTCAGGCACAACCACACATCAAACGGAGTCACCAGAAATCCCTCCATCCCTACTTGGCAGCACAGGCTGGCTTTCCCACAAGAGTCCCTCAGCCCTAATCTAGACACTCATGATCCTCAGCCTAAGAGAATACAATACATGCCCAGGAGGGGGCAGGCCCTACTCACCTAAACCACAGCAAGTATTCAGGGTGTTTCCCAAGGGTAAAGGAAATGTCCCCAAAACACGTATTAACAAAACACCAGGGTACAAGCTGTCATGAGCGCGGTCATACCTCCCTGAAGATAGAAATCCTGATTGTCACTGTCAACACCTGCAGAAAAAGTCACCAGTGGAGGGGAGCAAGGACGAGGACTCTCCCTAGATGGTGTCACCCTGTGAGCTTCATAAGCAGAGTGATGTGGGTGGCTTTCACTCCACCGTCTACATGACCAGGGCGTCCAGCTTCTCCTGTTTCCAGAGCTGGGTAGCAGGGACTCCTGGGCGCCTAGTTCATAACGCTGATTTTTCACCACGACAACTCATTTGATTCTGTCATGTGACACAGCGTGTCACCACACACAAGGCTGAGAAAGCAGATAAGGCTGCTAGGCGGCAGCACACAATCTCTTGTGTTTTCTTTTCAGGCTGTTAATAATAAAATGATGATGATGATGATAAAAATGCTGATACAGAGACAGCATGCATGAGCCTCATAAGTGAGGGAAGTGATGGCCAAGCCAGACACTGAGGGCCACAGTGTCTGTGTCTGTGACATATCCTGGGCAGCAGGACCAGAATGTAGTGGCCAGGGCCTTCCTTGTGGGGGTGGGAACAGAAAATCGGGGCTTCATGGGTACAGAGGCTCCTTCTGAGGCGGTGAAAACACTTGGGAGGCAGCTGACGGCTGTGCTGTAAATATCACGGATATGCCGAGGTGGCAGTGAACTGTGAGCTTTAAAATGGTTAATTCTGTGTGATGTGGATTTTACCACCAAGTTTGTTAAAGTTTAAAAAAGAAAACTCCGTTAGCCAAATAAAACATCTGCAGGCTGAATTGTGCCCAGTTTTCAATCCCAAACAAGCAGTCCCCAGAGTCCCTTTTAACACTCACATCCCAAATCTCTGGGGACCAAAATGCCACTCCAACCAGGCAGTGACCAGCCAACCACAGGAAAGGGCTTCTGTCTCTAAACTCTGATGCTTTGGAGCCAGAAAATCAAAGTCTGTTGGAACTGGAATTCAGCCAAGCCTTTCCTTTTTTTTTTTTCTTTCTTTCTTCCTTTTCTTTTTTTCCAACTGCCCTTTGCTACAATGAAGGGCAAAGAGCCACCCCTGGGTGACAGGGAACGGACTTTGTTGACACAGCCCAAGTTCAATTTTTGTGAGGTTCATAATTAAGCTGTCATCCGTTGCTCCGTGGCAATTAGGGCCTGCAGAAGGGATGAATGGGCCTGTTATCATGGGAAATTATAAATAGAGGATCTGCACAGCATCAGGGCCGGGCCTCTCCGGGCAGAACCAGCAAGCCGGAGTGTGTCCACCCTCCCTGGCTGACAGGCTGACAGCTCAGAGCACAGCTGCCATCCAGGGCTCTCAATTCTGCCTCTGTCATCTGAGCCCAGACTTCAGACACAGCCACACAGCAGGGACTGGGCTAGATAGCGCCTTTGTACTCCTTCCCTGCTGGGGCTGAAGTGTCTGTACTGAGCAGAGGGGACTGGGCTCCTCCTGACAGGCTGAGGTGTTGGTGACCAGATAGACAGGCTGCCCAGCAGTCCCCAGAGAAGGGCAGGTCCCAGGCAGGAGTAGAAGGCCCGAAGATGCAGCTGTGGGCAAAGGTCCTGGACCCTTCCTCCCTGACCTGCCTTCTCCACACTCGCCCTCTCTGCAGACCCCTCCATCTGCCAAGAATTGTCATTTGGAAGGGAGTCCCACAGCCAAGAAACACAAAGACAGTCGTGTATCCTTTACCGACACACTCTGAGAAGAGCGTCTAATTTCATCGTTTAGTGAACTTCCTCTCTCCTCCCACTTGCCTTCTTTCAGCACTCAGAGTAGAACCCAGGCCTCGCACATGCTAGGCGAGCACTCTGGCCCTGGGCCTTGTAAAACTCTTGCTTATTTGTGCAAACACCACGGAGTACGCTGTAGACTGCCATGGTAGAGCACACTGTGTACCTCAGCTAGGAGGTGTAGCCTATAGAGAGAAGGTGGGCAGAGAGGGAGCCATGATCTGACCCAAGATTGAACTTGGGCTCCAAACCCAACGCATGTTACTGTACAGAATACTATGGGTGATTATAATACAACAATATTTGTGTACTAAACATACCTAAGTGTGGGAAAGTACAGTAAAACTAGAGTGTAACAGATTTTCAGAGGTCATTCAAGGTGCCACACGCCTTTAATCTTAGCACTTGAGAGACAGAGGCAGACAGATCTCTGAGTTCAAGGCCAGCCTGGTCTACATAGCAAGCTCCAGGACAGCCAGGGCTACACAGAGAGACCCAGTCTTTTTAAAAAAAAAAAAAACAACAACAACAATCAACTGTGGTTGCCTGTGCCTGTAACCCTAGTGTTGGTGGCAGAGAACAGTGGCTCTTCAGAGCCTGAGGGCCAGCCAGACTAACAAAAACAAGGAACTTCCAAGTCAGTGAAAGACCCTGTCTAAAGGCAAGGAGACAGAAAGCAACAGGGGAAAACACACTGTCCTGCTGTGACCTCCATGGGTACATGCATGTAACACCACACACACACACACACACACACACACACACACACACACACACACACACACACATACACACACACACATACATACACACACACATACACACACATGCATGTAACACCACACACACACACACACATATACACATACACACACACATACACACACATACACACACACACATGCATGTAACACCACACACACACACACACACACACACACATACACACACACATACATGTAACAGCACACACATACACACACACACGCATGTAACACCACACACACACACATACACACATACACACACACACACACACACACACACACACACACACACACACATACACACGATGGGGGGAGAGAAAGAGCAACAGACAGACAGACGACGGACAGAGAAGATTTTCAAATGCTGCACCATCTAGGGCACTGACTGTGAATGCAGCCCAAAGACTGCAAGCCTCTGCTAGTGAGCCAGTGAGTAGTGAGTTCGGGGCAGGCCCAGGACTCTGCTGAGACTAATGGGCACTAAAAGCCTTGCACATCTGGCCACAAGGACTGTATAAGAAGTCTCTCTTCAACACCGAGTGACCTTTAACCTACCATAGCTTTTTATCTTGTAAACTTTTTAATTTTTAAAATGTCTCAATTGTTTTATAACAGCTTAACCCAGAAGCTACCACATCTGTACAAAGACATCTTCCTTCATGTCCTTATTCCATAGGCTTTTCCTCATTCTGAAACTTTGTACTTTTCCCATTTGTTAAACTTTCCCATTGAAATCTGCACTCGCCGGGGCTGGCTTCAGCCTCCACAGAGCTTAACTGGGCAGCTGCCTGGGCACGGTCTGCCTCCTTGATCTGCCCCTTACACCCTGGGTGGTAGCCAGGGCAGTGACACCCTTGGAGCAGCCACCTCCTGCGAGAAACTGGGGACCTGCTGAGGCTGTCCTTGGGAGCACTCTGCAGAAAGTGTCCTCTGTGGCTGTGTTCGCAGCTGGGGTCTCTCTCCATCCTGATTTGACTGTGAGCGCTACTATCCACAAGGTGCTGCCTCTGCTTCAGAAGGCGCTCACAGCATGTGCAGAGCCTGGCCCAGCCCTTCGCCACTTCCCCACCCTTTAGCTCTGTATCCTGTCTTCTTCCATTCCCCTCTTAGGGGGCCACCATCACACTGCAGTCTGTCACGGACCGAAACACCTACCTGTAGCACCTGACTGTGCCTAAAAAAAAAAAGTCACAGCAGTTTAGGCTCTGAAAGCAGGCAGTAATGTTGTTCCCATTTCTCAGATTTGTAAACTAAGATAGCAGAGAGTTAGCTAATGCAGCCACATCGCATAACCAGGGGGTTGGAAACCACACTCGGACACTGTCTGAGCACTCTATGCTGTTCCTGTTTCACATCTCCACGTCACAGTGAAGCTGGCCAGAGGTCAGAGATGGAAGGGAGCAGTGGGGACTACCGTGTCCAGAGGCCATAAACTGAGGAACGGCTGCCTCCAGTGGGTCACCCTCCAGAAATGAGGGCTCCATCTGAATTTAACCTGACTTAATCCATTTTATGATGCTAAAATTGAGTGGCTTAGACCTGGTGACTGGCAAATAGGGGCATACTTAGCTCCTGGCTCCAGAGGCTGGGAAGCCCAGGAGCACAGGGCTAGCCTTTGGCAAGGGCCTGATTCCTACATACCACGGTGGAAGCCATCCCGCAGTGAAGCTAGCATGTGTGCCAGGGAGACATCCATGCTCTGATCCATTCCCAAGGGACCCAGTCACCTTTAGAAGGTCCCACCTCAGCAATGCTGTAATGGGGACCAAGTTCCCAGACAGACCTTTGGGGGACACACACAAACCATAGCCACATTAAAAGCTGATTGTTAGAATGACAACTTACATCTTTTAAATGCAGAGTATATCACACCAGGCTTGGTGGCTCATGCCTTTAATCCCAGCAGTCAGGAGGCAGAGGCAGGAAGATCTCTGTGAGTTTGAGGCCAGCCTGGGCTACAGAGTGAGATCCAGGCCAGCCTGGTCTACCTAGTTCCAGGACAGTCAGAGCTACATAGAGAGACCCTGTCTTTAAAAGAAAGAAGAAAGAGAGAAAGAGAGAGGGGGGGGAGGAAGGAAGGAAGGAAGGAAGGAAGGAAGGAAGGAAGGAAGGAAGGGAGGAAGGAAGCAGAAGGGACAGGACCCCAATCCCATGTAACCAACACCCATGTCACAACCACTTCCCCACCGGCCGCCTTCCTACCTCACACCCAGAGCCTGCATATACATTCCAGGTGTCCTCTGCCTCCTCACTGCACCTCCAGCTTGAGGACAGCCGCGTGGTCCAGCACACACTGTAGGGCAGCCTTCTGTAGTTGTACAAGATTCCCAGGTTCAAATCCTGAGAAGCCTCCACACCTGCAGCTCCGTCAATAGATTGGTGCAGATTCAGCCAAACCGTTACTCCTATGCACGGAGGGGAATTCATGGTGTGCTTTATGGGGAAGGAGTCTGATGCACCCACACCTATCACCTGTGCTTCCTTCAGTGAGCATGGAGGGCTATGTTCTTGACATTAGCTGGACCCTGAAACATAGGCCTATAAGGGAGACTGAGACAGGAGGATTTCAAGTTCAAGGCCAGCCTGGGCAACTTAGTAAGCCTCTGCCTCAAAATGTGAAAAGTAACTAGGCAAAATGAATGGGGGCATAGTTCAATGGTAGGAAGTTTGCCTAGCATGCTTAGGGTCCCGGGTTCAATTCTCACTATGGCAAAAAAAAAAAAAAATAATAATAATAATAGAT